CCAGGAATTTCAACTGCCTCTTTTTGATGTTAACTATAAGTTTCTTTCTGCCTCCATTTTCTTTTCTAAAATCTCGTCGTTACTCACATGTGATTCCATTGTAATCTTAACATCTTGTAGAGCCATATTTCTGTTGCTTTGAGTCTCTTCTTCATCTTTGAGGAGATTTTCAAGCATTCACTACCATGGCCGTGCGTCTCGAAAATGACCTCCAATCGGTTGTGAACTGGGGCAGGAATTGGCTGGACAACTTTAATGCCTCAAAAACAAAACTGCTCTCTATTAATCACCACAGAGATCCTTCCCTGCTCTCCATTAGAATGTCTGACGCTCAACTTCTCGAGGGCACCTCTCTGCGGCTGCTCGGTCTCACGTTGACTGCTGTCCTAAGATGGAACAAATACATTGAGTCAATTACTTCGTCCACCGCAAGGAAAGTTGGCTCCCTGTGCCGCGTCAGAAAGTTTTTCTCCCCGGAATCGATCCTCCAGATCTACAAATCAACAATTCGCCCTTGCATGGAGTATTGCTGCCATATATGGTCTGGAGCCCCTTCTGTTTGCCTCGGGGTTTTTGAGATGCTCCAGAGGCGGATATGCAATATAATTGGCCCTGATCTGGCATCTCGTCTACAGTCACTTTCTCACAGACGCGCCGTCGCCTCTCACTGTCTGTTTTACAAATACTTTCATGGCAATTGTTCCGAGGAGGTGCATTCGCTGATTCCCAGACTTCATGAGTTCAAGCGCCCAACGAGGCTGGCATCCCGCTCTCACCCCTTCACTGTCGAAACTCCTAAATGTAGCCGTCTCTTCTACTCCCATAGCTTCATGTCTCGCACCTCTCGCCTGTGGAACTCCCTTCCCTATTCTATTCCCTGAGAGCTATAATCTCCAGCTATTCAAATGTAATGTCAATCGACATCTCCAGCTGCCTTGATCTATCCACTACCCTTCTCTTCATCCTTTCTTCTATCACTCCTATCTGATCTTGCTCCAAAATTTCTGTAACCCCTTGCTTCCCGCCTTACTTGGGGTGAAATGCTTTAAAAAAAGTATATAGGAGGAAGGATATCACGTAACTGTTCAGTATTCCTTGTTCTGTATACCCTGCTTAACTTCTGGCATATATTCTTGGCCATCACAATTTCCGCCTTCTCTTAGAGCTCTGCCCTAGATATTTAATTTTTTGTCATTGTTTGATTTTAGTATCTCCGATTTGTTATTCACATTTTGGGCTCATCCTTTTGCGGATAACCATGCATTCTGTCTTCTTCTTGTTTATATTTAGTCATTTCTTTTCGCTTTCCTACGCTACCTTCTGTAGGAATCTGTTATTAATCAAATTTTAACCTTATAACACATTAATGCCTAACCTCCCCAAAATCGTACTATGATAGGACGAGAACTGGTTTATTCAACGAGATATGACCGTGATCTAGAAAATGTAAAAATAAGAATTAGAATTAGTTTTAATGTCATCACTTTAAAAACTATAACAAAGTAAAAAAAAATATTTTCATATTCGTTTAGTACTTCATCGGATTAAAGTGATGTTGATACGACTACACATGCGCACGAAGGACAGGAAACACTGAAATTAGATCACTTATTTGGCAATATGTTAGTGAACCAAGAGCTTATAGCTTCAAGCACGATGATATGGCCATTAAATTATTCCTTGAAGCGAGATGAAGCTAAAGTTACTTTTCTATTTAAATATTTCACATGAGTATAAAATGTAAAAATATATAAATATTTCCCATGAGTATGAATTAAAAAAAAATCACTAGGCATAACTGAAATACAGATGTACAAATGATAAAATTGGAAGATAAGTAAGGCGTTAAAATATACCGGCTTTTTTTACTTACTTATCCGTGGTTCTTTTGCTTATCCAATCTGGATTAATCTGTAATTTAATCCGTACACATGATCAGAATCTCTGAATCCATTTGAACACCTACAGATGTTTTTTTTTTTTAAATGTTTTTCGGCTATTAAGAAACAGAATTATCTGTCTATATTTCTGAGATGAGGTATTATGTACACCATTTACATTATTCGGACTATTGTGCCCATCTTTGTCGCCATATTTATTACATTTCCTTTATCCACTGTGCCATTATTATTTCATTATAAGATATTAGAAGAAGACCAAAGACACATGGCACAGTGGATAAAGGCGTTGGTTAGATCAATTGACAGAACCCAAAAAGTGTGAGTTCAATACCCGGTTAAGGCAGTGGAGAACTTTCAGAGAGAAATTAACAGGAGATAACTGACATCCATCAAAACATGGCACGTGGAACTACAACAGTCTACGCCAGTGAGCGAAATAAAGGGTTCAGTTCTACATTCCAACCACCTGAAGAAAGCCGAATCGTTGTGATAAATATGGCGACAAAGATGAGGACAATAGTCCGAATAATGTAAATAATGTACAGAATTATCTATCATCTGACGTCCTATTAAATTCTATGACAGTTTTTGAGGCGGGAAGGGGATGGAGATCAAGAAGCGAGAGAAAAAAGTGTGGATTTGCCCGATCTCATAAAGGGATTAAAAAATAACTTTTCTTTAAGTAACATATACGAAATCTGGCATAAGAGAATAATTAATGTAGGAGCGATATGTAGACTGGCGATAAGGTCTCATGAATTTACAGTCGAGTTGCCTAGATGTAACCCTAAGTTCTGTACTAACAGTCTCTTTTCTCGCACTTCTCTCTTGTGGGTCTCTCTTTCGGCGCCATGTTTTTCCAGTCAACTTATTCTTCCAAAATGTAAATGCAATGTCAATCGCTTTCTACAGTCTTCCTGATTACACTTCTATTGTTCTCTCTCCTTAGTAATTTTTTATGTACTAATGTTCACCCAATACAAGGCCCAAGAGACACTCAAGGTAGAAGATTACTCTGTGGTATTGTATTAGCGTAAGAAAAGGGAAGAAGTGGAGTTCTGGGGCTTATGCAGGAAAGATAATTGCTAAATCTAGACATGAAGAGGTCAAAATTTAATCATTTCCGAGTTCAGGCGCAGACGTTAGAAGTATAATGCGGAAGTAGACACTAGAAGGAACCGGAAACCCAATCTCAAACAGGAATCAAGAGATAAAATTCTACTTCCGTTCAAAAAGACGATGAGGAGTGTGAACCGGGCGTTAGACGAACCGATCTACTTCTTTTGGGAGAGAAGAAATTAAATAATTAGTCAGAGCTCAGTTGAAGATTATAGGTCTATAGAGTTGAATTAGACTTCAGAAAGAATCGGAAACCGAATCATAAACTGCAAAATAAGAGATAGACATCTAAGCCCCCGTTCAAAAAACAGGAGAGGAGTGTGAACCGGACGATCGGCGAACCTATCTATTCCTACTGGAGGAAATGGGAGTAAATAAAATAAATAATTAGTGAATAAAATGTCACTATTCAGGCAACGGATGTTAGAAGTATGGATTTTTCTGTTTTCTAGTTCTTCCTCACTTAAAAACCTCTTGTGGCTGTGCACACGATTTAACAAATATCTCTTTTCTTAAGAGACTCTGCTCAAAATCGGAAGTGGCCTATCGAACATATTTGCAAGAATAAAATTAAACTTCACAAATATAGCGAATTAATTCAGATAAAGCGAGCAATGAAGTAAACAAATAAAACAATACAATATGCAACTATATGGGCACGTCGGGTTGGTGCAATGGTTAGCAATCTTGTCTCGCTAGAACAATTACGACTGAGTAGTGAGTTCGATCCTCACTGAGTACCCTATAGTTTCGGCCTTGTGTCACATGTAAACACAGGACACTTCGACGTGGTGTAATGGTTAGAAAGCATGTCTTGTGAGATCAATTACGACTGAGTAGTGAGTTCGATCTTTCGGCTTTGTGCCACATCTAAGCTGTGTTTAGAAAATCACTATGTGGGCACCTCGAGGCGGTGTAATGTTTAGCAAGCTTGTCTCGCTAAAACAATTACGACTGAGTAGTGAATTCGATCCTCACTGGGTGCCTCCTTCTTTCGGCCTTGTGCCACATCTAAGCTAGGCTTGGAAAATCAGGCCACCTCGAGGCGGTGTAGTGGTTAGCAAGCTGGTCTCGCTAGAACATTTACGACTAAGTTCGATCCTCACTAGGTGGCCCCTACGTTCGGCCTTGTGTCACATCTAACCTACGCTTGGAAAATCACTATATGCAACTACATAAACATTTTGTTATCAAATAATGATGTAGAACGACAATTTGTAGCGCATAATAAATTTTGTTTTGTTATTTTTCCCAAAACCCGTTTTTTTTTTTCCGCCGTCCATTTTGGCATTCTCATTATGTTATGCGTTGTTTCCCTCTCTCTTGCTTTACCTTAATTTGTCTTGTTAGTATTAGAATTGTTAGTATCAGATCATTATGTGCCTCCAGAAATTTCAACTGCTTTCTCCTGATTTTAAGTACACGTTACATTTTCGTTTCCATTTTTCTCTAAAACCTCGTCGTTGCTTACATAGTCTTTTATGGTATCACCGGCATCGTTCTGCAGAACCATTTGCTTCAAGTCTCTCTTTCACAGCAGAGCAGACTGTCCTGCAATTCACTGCCATATAAGGAGGGCAGATGTTACATAACAGTACACTACTACTTTCTTTGTTTCTAACGAATATTTTCTGTCTCTTAATAACCGGCTTAATCCCTAGCTTTGGGAATAAACGGAATTATCTATCAGCTCACATCGCATTGCCCTCCCAAGCCTATGGCCGTGTGTGAGTGGAGAAGTCAAAAGAGCGAGTGAAAAAGTACGGATATGGCGAATCATATATAAAAAAAAAAGGTATTTAAAAAAATAAATTTAAATACATTTTCTTTAACTCGCATATATGAGAGTTTGCGTAAAAAGAGAATTCCTTCTCTTAAGAGACTTCGCTGAAACCAAAGTTACAAGATTTCCACACGCGCAATTGACCCCGAGTACAGGGAAAGTTGAATTCGGACATGTTTGGTATCATTCAGTTTCCGATGTTAGATTGGACTGAAAATTCTGTCACATTAAAAAATTATCTATCTATCTATCTATCTATCTATCTATCTATCTATCTATCTATCTACACATTTATACAACATTACAGATATATTAGGCACGTACGTTTTGTTACATGAACAACCAATGCGTTTTGTGATTTGCAATTTAAAATGTCCTTTTTCTGTTCATATAGTCTTTTATTTAGACTTCTGGAGGTTTCAAGAAATTTTTCAATCGTGATATTTTTCTAAATACTGTTTGTTGATATATAAAATTATACAAAATTATATATTGTTTTAATATATATATATATATATATATATATATTAAAACAATATATAATTTTGCATATATATATATATATATATATATATATATATATATGTGTGTGTGTGTGTGTGTGTGTGTGTATGTATGTGTGTGTGTGTGTGTGTGATTTCTATTTGGGTGGGAATCTAACAAAATGGCAAATGTACCACACAAGTGGGAAAAGTTGTGTTTTGACACGTTTCGCTGATCAAACGGCCTCATTAGAAAACAGTATTTTTATTTTAAGTAAATCCACCCTTCTGACACGCTAAATGTGGATTTAGTTAAAATAAAAATGTTTTGGTGATGATGTTGTTTGATCGGCAAAACATGTCACAACAGAAGTTTTTTACTAACTTGTCTTGTATACATGCCATATATATATATATATATATATATATATATATATATATATGTTTGTGTATGTATATATATATATTCGTGTGTATAGATAGAAAGAAAATAGTATCTCTTTAAAGATGTGTTTCAATTTACTCAAGATTGAAGGGTAAAATAAATTTGCAGTAAATTCTTACATATGCAGGCAAATACGTGATAGGCGTTTTATTAAATGTGCAATGTTCGAGATCTGTAACAGTTACAGTGACAAAAGATTGCATTATTTCTATCTATGCCTCTTATTTCTATCTATCTATCTATCTATCTATCTATCTATCTATCTATCTATCTATGAATATGTCCATTCCACGCTAAAACGCCGGTTTTCGTACGATCACTGAAGTTACCGATTTCACAAAGCTTCACAAATGATCAATATACGTACCACCTGTGACACGACACACGTCAAGCCAGTTGTCTAGACCCTGCCAAACACGCTGTAGCATGTCTTGCGTAACATTCTCCATTGCCTCAGTGCAGACTTGTCAATGGGAATCTACCAGGAAGATGGATCTGGCGTGCCGGTGATAATGACAATCTTCCGTTGAAATGGCTACCATATTCACCTGACTTGACACCATGTGATTTTTTTTCTATGGGTCTGTGTGAAAAGACACGTCTATATCTACCTCTTCCTACAAGCCAAGAAGAACATAAGCGCAGAATTACTGAGGCACTGGTGAATGTTTCGCCTGTTGTTTTATTTTGTTTGTCTGGGATATATAGTTTTTTTTTTAAAAAAAAATTCAAGCAAGGTGGGAGTGTAACTAACACCCAAGAGGTTACAGAGATTAAAAGTAAGAGTAAAGAGGAGTGTTCGGAAAAGGGATAAAGAGAAAGACAGGGATCAAGGCATCAGAAGATATCGATTGACATTACATTTGAATATTTGAAGATTATAGCTATCAGGGAAGCAAATGATAGGAAGGGAGTTCCACTGACGGGAGGTGCGAGATAAGAAGCTGTTGGAGTAGAAGAGATGGCTGCATTTAGTCGTTTCGACAGTGAAATGGTGGGACCGAGACGCCAACCTAGTAGCACGTTTAAATTTATGCAGTTTGGGAACCAGTGAAAGTAGATCGTTGGAGCAGTTGCCATGAAAGTACTTGTAGAAATGACAGAGGAAAGCCACAACATAAGTGAAATAGTGACTGTAGACTGGATGCCAGATCAGGACTAATCACGTTGCATATCTGTCTCTGGGTTTTTTTCCTGGTGCTCGAGGCGAACATCGGAAACACCTGAGCATATATGACAGTAGTATTCCGTGCAAAGACGAATGGTTGATTTGTAGATTTGAAGGGTGAACTCGGACAAGAAAAACCTTCTGGCGCGACACAGAGAACTAACTTTCCTTGCGGTAGATGAAGCTATAGATTCAATGTAGTTGTTCCACTTCGGGTCAGCGGACAGTGTAAGACCAAGCACGCGCAGAGCGGCGGTCTTGTGGAGTTATTCAGATATTGTCATTTTAAATAATGTCATGTGTATTAAAATGTGTAAATTGTTGGAAAACCATTGCTGGCTATATCATGAAGGCATATATATTCTCTTTTTCTATTGTTTAATTGCTAATCAATTATTAATTACTTGCATTATTTACATTATTCGGACTGTTGTCCTCATCTTCATCGCCATATTCACAACGTCTCGGCCGCTGTACGCTCCGGCCTTCTTCTGGTGATTTGAATTTCGAACTGACCCTTTTGTTTCGTCCACCGAGTTAGATGGTTCTAGTTCCACGTGCCATGCCTCTTCCAGATGACTTAGTTATTTCCCTTTAACTCAACTCTCCAAGATTTGGTTCACCACTGCTGTGTCCTGGTATTGAACTCACAACTGTTTGGGTCTAGTCACTGGATCTTTATACACTGGGCCATGTGTTCTTGAGGACAATTAAAAATATATGATTCTAATGCTCATATAAGGTCATTTTTGGCACCTGGGAATGGAGTAATGGTTAGGAAGCTGGTCTGGCTAGATCAGCTACGACTGAAAAGTGAGTTCGATCCGCATTAGGTCTCCCATGCTTTCGGCCTTCTGCCATATCTAAGCTACGCTTAGAAAATCACCTCATATCATATGATTATCACAAAACATTTCGATTAATAAAATTTAGCGTGTACTTTGAGAAAGAACATTCTCGTTTTCACATTAAAATTGGCAAGAACGGTAAAGAATTCATACATAAATCAATATACAAATCTTTAGTGAAAAAAAAAGTTTCGCATTTGTGAATGCCTGTAAATAAACATTTACAAGACTGTGTGAATTCCTTTAAGACACGTGCATTGGAAATGTTAAATTACATGAATATTGTTTGATATTTCGGAATTTTACTAAAAAATCTTTTTTTATTTATGTGAAAAAATACATTAAAGCATAAAATTGTCCTGCTATTTTATTTCGTAAGATAAGCAAATATTAATACTTTAGGGGTATGCGCATGTCTTCCTGAGAAAAAAAAATGAAATCGAATTGAAAACTTTCGTGTCCGGGGAAATAACATTGTAATGGTTATGTACACCGATAAAGTGAAAATCATCGGCAAAAGAAATACGCTTGAGAATGGTATGAAACCATATCTTCGCGTCCTGGGTAAGATGATAAACTACAACCGCGTACTGGGTAAAACGATAAACTTCATCCACGTTCTGGGTATGACGATAAACTACATCCGCGTCCTGGGTAAGACCGTAAACTACATCCGCACCCTGGGTAAAACGATAAACTAGATCCGCGTTCTGGGGAAGACCATAAACTACATCAAACAGTAAGGCCTTGATGAATTAGTTAATTATAATTATTTCAAACCCCCCTAATAATTTTTATCACTTTAAATATATATATATATATATATATATATATATATATATGATGTAGTAAGATTATCTGACTGATGTCAAATCCGACGAGATTAGATCCCGGTTTGAAGCAATCGAATGTCTAGCCACACTGATAATTTTTCGTATTATTCTAACTTTACTTTTAGTGGATATATATATTTGATTTTATTTATTAAATAATATATTTATTTATTTTCGTCTACCGGCCTAAATATTCTAGAAATATTATTAAAGAAATAATTGCGCTCTCCGGCAGTATTCGAAACTGCTTTCTCCGTGACAGGCGAAGCCGCCGTTTCTAAAGCATTACTTAAATTTGCTTGATCTTTGACCTTCTCCCTGGTCAAGACGGTCTGAAGCATGTTCCGTCAAGGATATATATATATATATATATATATATATATATATATATATATATATATATGTGTGTGTGTATATATATATATATATATATATATATATATATATATATATATATTACGATAAACGTGCAATCAATTTACAAATTCATGAACTATTCACACAAAAAAAAAAAGCAAAGGTTAATGATTTAATTGGCGAGAAATCCATCATCGCAAACAATTCAAATAATATACAAAACCTCCGAATCCGTTATGAATGAATTGATCCTTCTTTCCATAAATTTCTGCCGTATTAGTTCTTATTTTTTACTACAAGCTTTCGTCTGTTCCTACAGACATCTTCAGGTATAGAATAGATGTTGTTCTTGTTTTTTCTCTTAGTAATAAGAGGACAACGAAAATATATGTATTGTTGTATCCGAAAATGCTATTGAAAATGAGTTATTGTTTTTGGAGCGCGCCAGTAGCAACGCTGAGTTTGATTTTAAATTTTTAAAGGTTGTGCGTTCATATAAATATGGTGATGAACGGATTTTTTACTGGTAAATTTTCTGTCAAAGTGGCATGAACTATATTGTTCAATAATTACAGTAATGTCGCACTTATTATCCAAAAGTCGCATTTGGATCAGTTATTTAAATTACGATAAACTTGCAATCAATTTACAAATTCATGAATTATTCACACAAAAACAAAAGCAAAGGTTAATGATTTAATTGTCGGGAAATGCATCATCGCAAACAATTCAAATAATATACAAAAACCTCCGAATCCGTTATGAATGAATTGATCCTTGTTTCCATAAATTTTTTTTGTATATTATTTGAATTGTTTGCGATGATGGATTTCTCGCCAATTAAATCATTAACCTTTGCTTTTGTTTTTGTGTGAATAATTCATGAATATATATATATATATATATGTATTACTTAAACTTTATTTTTAGTTGATGCCCATATCTGTATAGACTGTCCAATTATTTATTCAACAGTATATTTAATTATTTTCTTTTACTAGAATGGATATTCGAGAAATATTAGTAAAGAAAAAATTTCGCTCTTCAGCAGGAGTCTAACCTGCCTCACCCTGTTAGACGTCCATGTGAGTCATCACGCTACATATTCAATGAATGTGTCGTGAAGCAACGAGATTTGGAAAAAACCGACATGACACTGATCAGAAGTGATTATGCTCAAGTTTTATCCGCAAACTTAAAAAAAAAGAAAAGAAAAAAAAATCATAAATGAATAAAAAAATATTTAAAAAAAACCTTTAAATAATCGGCATATCACCCATCAACGCATGAAGAAGCAACTCAAGCAAAAACACAATACAACACACACACACTCATACACACACACACGCGCACACAGGCACACAAAAACACAATACAACACACACACACAAACATACACGCCCGCGCACACACACTCAAACACACAGAACCCTATAGGGTAAACATAAAATCTTACGTACACAGACAGCGCTCTGAAAAGATTAGACAATTTATGTTCAAATTTTCCCGGAAAACAAAAAAAATGGGCAGAATTGCTGAAAATGAAATTTCGTTGGTTTTCGTTGAATCAAAAGTAAATCTCAGTTTCTTTTTTAAAGCTTGCTCGTCGATTATTTGCCATTTATATTACCTTGTACAAAAGGTAGAAATCAATGAAGGACATATTTATCCAACCCGGGAGAATCATTAATGAACAGTACCAAGCTGTTTTACTTGCAATCTTCAATACGCCCTACCTCGGGATATTTTCTTAACGGCATGACTTCCCAGAATGTGGGCGTTACCGGAAAAATATGGAATTAGTAAGTCTCGTAGGTCCGACAGTGTAGAACTTTTTTTCGGCAGTCATCTTTATACATTACATTTGAACGGGCATCAGACAAAAGTTCCAGCATTATCACCATGACCAATTCTAGATTCAGCACTGAATGTCACCTTCATCCAACAGTCCAAACGGCATGGTTTCTATTGCATTTTGATCGTATTTTAATTCTGTTTGTGTGTTAGTGCTGGTTTTCATTTGGCTTTTCTTTATGTAAATTCTAATTCCTTCAGATGATTTCTTACAGTTCTCA